TATATAAATTGTCAGTTTGTTGTTTTATACACATGCACACAGACATTATTTCATACACGACATAGTCGTGAGATGCAAGAAACATAGACATATGGCAAGAAATCTGTAGACGCGCCCATAACAACAAAAGACAATACTTTACTGAACCTTTTCTGATAAGAAGTGTGCGCTGAAAACGCGAGCATTTTTTGATGATCGTTTCTGTCCAGTCTGCTCGTTATATCGCATTTAACCACAGCTGTCGTCGTTTTTTTGTCTGGCAGTGGCAGCAGATATGTGATCAAATTTCTAATTTGTGGCTGTATTACGTCGATTCTGGCACCCAACATCACAACAAGATGCTATTTTAAGCTCCTTATGTAGCCGAACCTGCGCTGGTTTGAATGGGCCGCCTCCAGTTTCCCCTTTGTTTTGCTGCCTCCAGCTAGCGCTGTGACGTCGCTGAACCTAGTTACCCGTGGTTGGCCTGGCCGTGCGTCACTCAGAAAACAACAGGCCAATCAGAAGAGAGGCTCATGAATATTAATTAGACAGGCCAAAATCGACCTGTTCTCAGCAGAGCTCCTGAGAGAGGAGCTGTAAAAATATATTGAGATGTTTTTTGGTACTTATACCACAAATATATATTCTTAAGGACATCAAAACCTAAAATAAAACTCCAGAAAGGTGTACAATATGGGACCTTTAATATCCAGATATCTATATTTTTTACCCAGCCCTAGTCTACATGCTCTGTTTTTAATGCATGTTTCTTCTGCGCCAACAGAGAGTTGTCTAAGTTTAAGTCGTATGTGAACCCCACTGAGCTGAGAAGAGCTTCCATCCATATCCTACTGTCCATGCTTCCTCTTCCTCACCACTTTGGCAACGTTAAATCAGAGGTGAAAGGCTTCAGATCTGGGTTTAGCATTTAATCATTTTCTCTGTAACTTAATTTTCTGCGATAAAAATACAAATTAAAATAGGCTGTGGTTTCTAATTGCATTTGCAGGTTCTGTTGGAGGGGAAATTCAGCAATGATGACAACTCTCTTCATGACAAGGCCGTCACCTTCCTCTCCCTGAAGCTGCGATTGGTCAATATTTTGATTGGCGCCCTGCAAACAGAGACAGACTCGATCAATACACAGATGATACTAGGTGCGGCTGCCTGATCAATATGTCCATTTACTGATAGTGAAATATTGTAAAACCTATAGTTCAGGCACTAAAATCTGATTGGATGAGCCTCGTTCAAACCCTTGATACCTGATATACACAAACTTGTGACTGAACTCGTATATAAATATTAATTAGCCATTAGTTAAGCTAATTCATTATTTTAATATTTTATAAAATAATAATAAAATATATTAACAATTTTAATATGTTATTATTGTAATGTTTTATTATAATATTATTTAGAAATTATTATTATTATTATTTTATAAAAGCTATTTAACAATATTAATATTCTATATTCTTATATTAGAAAAATTCAGTTATCATTATTTTATAAAAGCTAATTAATTATTTTTATATTTTGTCATTACGTTAAAAAAAAAAGTATTATTATTATTATCCAATCATTTTATAAAAGCAGTTTGCCATAAAACCAATAAGGATGTATGTATGTTAATATTCTATATTATAACATTAGAAAAATATTATTATTATTATTATTGCATTATTTTATAAAAGCTGAGTAATTCCTTTAATATTTTGTCATTACATTAGAAAAATGAAATAATAGTAATTATAATTATTGTTATTATTAATATTATTAAATTATTTTATAAAATCAATAAGGAAGTATGTAGGGATTTTACCCACTTTGCATCATGCCAACCAAATCTCCTTAACTGTAATCAAATCAGTCTTTTTTTAGTTATTGCTTTAGTTTGATTTATGCACATTTAATAGTGATAAGTGTCAGTAATAACTGCATTTCTGTCTGTTTATAGCGGCAATGCTGAATATCGTCCAGGATTCGGCTCTGTTGGAGTCTGTTGGTGCTCAAGCTGAAGTGGTACGAGTTATACTTTCTATTTATTTATGAGCTCTGTAATTTCAAAGAGAGAGCTTGAAATAGATTTGAAGTGTCAGCGACATGAAATGTGATGAAGAGCAATCACAATTTACCAGTTAAAAATGGCATTGTGTCTGTGCTCTGTGTAGGGCAGTGTGGATGGAAGCCATTCTCTGGCTAAGAGCCACAGTCGTGTGCTCAAGCTGAAGTGGTACGATTTTCTATTTATGTATGAACACAATGAGTTCAGAGAGAGCTTGAAGTAGATTTGAAGTGTCAGCAAGGTGATATGCAGATGAAGAGTAATCACAGTTCACCAGTTAAAAATGCCATTGTGTCTGTGCTGTGTGTAGGGCAGCGTGGACGGAAGCCATTCTCAGGCTAAGAGCCACAGTCGTAATAACAGCGGCATCAGCAACGCTAGCGCAGGCAGCTCCGAGGCTACGACTCCAGACAGCGAGCGTCCCGCGCAGGCCCTGATGAGGGACTACGGTAAGCCCAGAGGGACACTGTGCACAACCGACCGATGCATTAGAGCTGTTTGAACTTTTAACAAAAGCATTGAAAAAAAATGCTTTGCATAAATGTAAAAGCTCAGTAAGATTTCACCCATTTAATTATTCCAGCAATGCCAAGATTAATCCACTGTGTGACTCACAGATGCTATAAGTGATCCTGTTTATTATATTTTGCGCTCACATTTACAATACGACCCAGAGTGTGGTGTAGTTTATTTTATTTGTGCCATCCCACAATATGATTTTTCATTTTTGTGGAGCACAAGATATTTTGGAGAACATTCACGCTACACTTTCCTTTCAGTGAAAGCATACGATACCATAATATCATAAAAGCACTTTAAACGTATCATAAAACTAGCTACAAAAATATTTTTACTACAAAAATATGTAAACAATCCTAATTTTTTTGGTCTAGCCTTCTGGGCCTCTTTGATCGGAACTGACCGAAAAAATTAACGTTTTTAATTTTTACATTTTTTTACATCATAGGAATGGGATGACAATTGGTGACTTTTGTCACGTTAGCTATGTGAACACACAAAATAATCATGGACGTGATTCGGAAATGTTAAAGGGTTGAAAATTAAAAAAGTAACACTTGGTACCTTCGAAATGACTGTGAAAAAAATAGCTCATAAAAAATCTATAAATATTGCATAGTATCATAAAATCCCCTCAGAATTTTAAATAATAATCCAAAAATATTATTGAACAAAAATATATTAAATAGATTTTCCTGAAAAAAGAAAAAAGTTATATTTAATTCGGCTTCGGTCACTTTTGACCGCGAAGGTACCAAGTGTGACCCAAAAATGAAGAGGCCCAGATGGCCAGCTATGCTTTTCTTTTTAAGTGCATCTGAGGAATGTGATGTCATGAATGTTTGTAGAAGTTGCATGGTGTTTGTCAAACATATTTATGGTGCATTTTAATGTCAATGTAAATTTTATTTATATAGCACCATTAAACACAACCAAAGTTGACCAGTGTGCTGTGAAACAAGACAAACAGGCACATTACAAAGCAGACTAAAAAGCAATAAAACAATACAATAACATTATTAAAATACAGTGCAATGATGCTTCATCACTGGCACATTTTAAAATGCCTGTCTGCAAATGAATGTGGAATGAAGTGGATATTTCTTCAAAGTGCGGCTCACGTGGAATGTCTTTAACCAGTTTTTGTTCTATATAATGAATGCTTTTCTTTATTTTCAAAGCATGATGTCAAATGAAGCCTCTGTTATTATGATTTCGCTGGACTAAATCATCAGTCTCTGTAACTAGCGAGCGATAACGCATTCTTGTGCTCGTCTGTGATCATGTGTATGGTTTGCGGTTGCCGTCACATGGCCGTATCACGTCTGCATCTCTGTGCCTGGCTTGCATCTGGTGTGTGTGTGTTACTAACCCGCTGTCTGTGGCGTGCTGTGTGTTATATCCCAGCTCTCCACACAGACACAGCGGCTGGGCTGCTGCTCCGCAGCATCCACCTGCTCACCCAGAGAGTCAACTCTCAGTGGAGACTCGACATGAGCATCTCACTGGCTGCCCTCGAGCTGCTGGCTGGCCTCGCCAAGGTACGCTGACACAATCAGCTTTATATTTATGCATCAAATGATTATAGCTAGAGGATCTTTTTATATGTACACAGTTGCAATAATTAAAATGTTTATGTTTTTGAAAGAAGTCTCTTCTGCTCATCAAGGCTCCATTTATTTAGTGAAAAATAGGGCTGGGTATCGAGTTCGATACTTTTTAGGCACCGACCGAATTGCTTTGATACCATCGAGTATCGAAAAATGTCTCGTCGTTCGGTACCGAATTTCGATACCTAAGGGGTTAATCTCATCAGCGTCAGTGAGCCAATAAAGGCCCGGGTATACTTCACTTTCCGCGTTCCG